AACCCTACTCTGGACTTTGTCGTTATATAATCGAATAAAGGGATAAGTCGCTACACAGTTCAATAGGTTCCTCTACGTTCAGCACAGACGAAGTAGTTAGGAACATTATAACAATAAGTAGAATAAGGATTCTTAATAGCATTCTTAAGAAACAATATGTCAGTATTATTGTTATATAGTGTGTTGTTTGTTTTTACATTCGCCCTTCACGAGCTCGATGAAATTACACTGGTGTGCAAAAATTAAGGACGAGACGGTTTTTTCAATATAACTTTGTACAAAAGCTTTCCAAATCAACACATTTAATACCGTAAGATCCCCAATACGTAAGGACATGAGTAATGTAAGCAACACTTACTAAAAGAGAAATCAGAGGGATAAAAAGAAGCTTTATTGAAAAAGTAGCATGGAGCGCAATGCGACTGAAGGCCGAAACATCCCTGTGATGGGTGTCCAGCAAGAAACATCGGTCTTTAATAGGGGATATGATCACCCCTGACTGCTAGGCAGGTTTCACAGCGTCTGCCCATGCTGAGAATGAGGGTGTCAATGAGTTGTTGAGGCATTGCTGCCCATTCGTCTTGCAGCGCCAATCGAAGCTCCGTAATCGTTACTGGTGGTAAGGTACGAGCTGCCAAGCGTCTGCCTAGAAAATCCCATACATGCTCGATGGGATTGAGATCCGGAGATCGTGCCGGCCAATCCATACGTTCAATATCCTCACTCTCTAAGAGCTGTTCGGCAGCTACTGTGCGATGACATGGTGCATTGTCGTCCATGAAAAGGAACTGCGGACCCATACCGCCTCTAAAAAGACGCACATATGGAAGAAGAATCTCGTTACATTGACTTTGGTCCCATTGACTGAACCTGCGTCGAAGATGTAAAGGTCTGTACGACTACCAAGCATGATGCCTCCCCAAACGAGAACACCGCCACCTCCATACTTGTCCCTTTGAATGATGTTCGAGGGATGATTGCGGCTTCCCCGCTCTCTCCAGATGAGTATGCGATGAGAATCGCTACTCAGACTGAATCTGCTCTCATCTGTAATGAGTACTCGCCCCATTCATTGTCTCTCCAATTCCGGTGATCCCGGCACCAAAGAGAACGCTTTCTCCAATGGGCAGGCGTTAGAGGTACACAGTGTACAGGGCGTCGGGCAAACAGACCACCACCGTGCTTTCTTCTGGTCACGGTAAAATGCGATATCGGTTGTCCAGTCGCCTGTGTGTGTCTATCGATTTCTCCCGCTGTCTGCCGCCTGTTTCTTCTGGCCTGTAAGGCAATATACCGGTCATCTGCGGGTGTGGTTCCTCGTGGATGACCACTACTAAATCCCCGGATAGCTGTTCCTGTAGTTTGAAATTGTCTCCAAAGTCATGAAACAATGCTGTGAGCAATTCCAAACTCTGCAGCCACACTTGTCACACTGCGGCCTTCCTCCAACTTCCCAATGATTCGACCTCGGGTAAAAGCATCCAGATGTCGTCTAACAGATTGATTATTCGCCATTTCTCGTTGAGGCAGCAACTTGTGTGATTTTAACTGCTATACGGCATGCAATCTCTTTGCCAGAAATACTGATCTTATACCGACAACATGCTTTATAATACTCAGACACTCCCCCATTACGTCTACCTGCATATCTGCGCATGTGCTACCGTACATCACCTTACTTAATCTCCTGATTGGTCTTTCTGTCCGCTCTGCCTCTTCATTCAGCTGATATGCTAATTTTTCGACTCCGTCCTTAATTTTTGCACACCAGTGTATATTTGTCAATGCATTGCCCAAAAATATTCCTCCAAAATGTTAATTCATCCTCAAAATGGCAGTTGTAAAAAAAGCACAAATGTAAATGTCAGATAAGTAAAATTAAGGACCTTCTGTCAATTTTAGCCAAAATTAAGGACTTCTAAAGATCCAAAAATCATTTCAAAAAAACGTAAAGACATTTAGGTACTTTTAAGGACTACACCTGGTATTTTAAAATACTGAAACAGAAAAAAAAACTGATGAAGTAAAAAATTTCCATTTTTAAAAAGATGAGCCATTTATATAACCAAGTTCGTCTATTCGTTACTTCTCCTTCCTTAAGTGGCAAGAATTTCAAAATTTCCATCATAGCATAGGCTCCCAACTAGAGCTTTTGGATAAACTTTACAGTACAGTACCCCTTGGTTTTTGTCTGAAAATATAGCCTAGTGGTATTGGTTGTTCATGAAAGCATCCTGTGTAATAGTCTGAAAGCATCTTGTGTGAAATAGGTTTTTTGGTAACCCTAATGTTGATAATGCTGGCAAAACTAGCCTAGGGGAAAATTTTGGTTTTCTTTTAGTTTCTGTCATTAAAAAGGGGTTATTTCTGCGAATATTGTCAAAAGTATTAGGTTTTGGCTATTTTTGTAATAGTAACCCCTTTCGTACGAACCCGGGTTTTTGGTTCTTACCATTCTTTTCAATTGCTGTGTTCAGTTTCACGTGCGTGGTATGGTCTTGTATTTTGAACTTGCTATTATTTTGCTGTGGGTACCATCATTTGAGTATGTCTGAGGTAACTAAGAGGGTAAATTTTGATGGGTTGGATTATGATAAAATTGTGAATTTGAAATTTTTGTAAGGGTTGGATGATAAATGAAAGATGTTTGAATTTTGCATGAAAGCTGGTTTAATTGCTGATAGATATGAATAAGCCGAACCAACGAAAAATTTAATTGAATTGCTTAATTGGAGGATGGAAGAGATGATGGTGGGAAGCCTAAATGTATGCATGTGAAAAAAAGGTACATTCAAAAATTGATGTCTCATTTATTTATTCATCTCTGTGTGTTAATTTTGGTTATTTATTCCTCTTTGTTCAAGTATTTTTGGTTATTTGTTCGTATCTGTGAGTTAAGACAGTGCATTTTTTCTGGTTACGATGATATTATAACTTTGTTTTAACTTCCTGATTTTGTTTAAGTGAAAACAGATTGATGTGTAGATAAACAAAGTTAAGTGATGCCTAGTTTGTGCAATTCCACAATGCCTAGTTTGTGCAATTCTCTATTAAGTTAAAAATAGATCGATGTGTACATGGAAACTGAGTTTGTGTAAGTCTTTTGACTTCTCATTTTGGTTTTGTGTAACGGCCATCTTGAAATTGGTGCTAATCCTTCCAGGTGGCGATCTTGACATAAAAAAAGAAATGATTCACCAAGGGGTACTGTAAATTTTTACTGATTTTTTTGATAGCTCAGTCAAAGAATTTGAATAGAGAACCCATTCAAGCTTTTCCATTCAGTGGTCATAGACACAATCATGGTGTCCTAAGATATGCTTATTGATATCCAGGTTCTCCAAGAACTAGATGTTACACCTGCCTCTTTTAGCTTTTGTTTAGAACACAGAGAAAGTTTGGGGTGATGTTTAATAATATATTAACGTAAAGGTTTTTTTTCTGCTATTCTTAGATCGATGGAATGTGGATCCTGACATCCTAAACATGATGATTTTACAAATTAGTTATTTTTCCATTAAAACTTGCAAAATTCTACAAAAAAGATATGAAAAAGACAAAAAGGTTTCAAATCAAAGATATCTATAAAATTTGTTGCATCTGATTTTCTTATATTTTGAGGTTTACTATAGCCATACAAAATAACATTAAGTGTCTAGGAAATTAGATGGGACCAGAAAGTTCACTCATTATAAATATGATTCACTATAACAAAGTTTCACTGTATTATAGTACCATAAAGTAATAATCTTCATATAGCACATACATTATTTTAAATAACTATCATTTCTAACAAATGCTAATGATTATTTAAGGGCTTTTCATCCGCAGAGAACCCGTTGGCACTTCGGGAAAGAATCCGTTGGCGCCGTTGCATTTTTACTCGCCAAGCTCGCGGTTCATCGACGATGAGCCGAGCCGTAAATGTGATATTTTGTAAACGTGATTTTTAGTGCATGTAAATTCAAGTTAGCAGACAAAACAAGCATATGGTAGTAAAAATTCACGGATAATAAGCATGTAGATGTAAAACTAACCGGTTAAACGTGATATACGAAAATAAATTTGAATTAAATTCAAGTTAGCACAGAAAAGAATATATTAAGCATAAGACAATATATAAGCATTTATAACGGAAATAAAAATTCATTTAAAATTATAAATTAGTATTAATGTATTGAAATTAACCGGTTAAACGTGAGAAATGAAAAAAAAAAAATTTGTCTTAAATTCCAATTAACACAGAAAACAATATATTCCTTACATCAGCAGTGGTTTGCTAATTTTGATGACCATGGTGATGCATCAAACTATTCTGTCATCTTAGATAATCAATAATATTTTTTTATTTCAATTTAATCATCTATTTATGTCACACCTACCATCCTCTGAAAGGTTATTGTTAGAAAAGCATTAACAATATATTATCTTGTTAAAATTTTACGCCATACAAATTGATTTATTCTCATAATTTTAGATGACAATAACCAATAATAAAAATAAAAGCATTATTTAATTATTTAAAATGCACATGCATATTTTTCCGGCCTATGGAAACAAATTATTTTAGAGGTTGGAAACCTCATGGTTCTTAGAGCTGTTAATAATTAAGAACACACAATGTGAACAGTCGTGTTACAAATTAGCATTCACCCCTCCCGCCGTATTTTCTTCCTTTCATCCCGAACCGAGAACTGGCATCTCTATCTATGAAGAATATTTCAATCTATTCGTTGTTAAAAAAATTTCAGAAAAAATAATAATAAATAAGAGAAAGAATAATGTAAATCTGCAAATGCGAACAACAACAGTGATATTTCAACAAAATGAACGCAAGAGAAATGGTTGCAAACTTCGAACAAGCGAAAACGATAAATCGGCTGGGTTACCTGGTTTAAACTATTATCGCCACAGTTGGCGATGTTTACATTTACCGGGTTCTCTGCGGAAGTGCTTCCTATTTAAGTTCAAATACACAAGCATGTTAAAAAGTAATTTACCATAACATAGCCTCCAGGACCCTGGCTACGCACTGTGACACCAAGCCATTGGTCATCTTTTATCACACGCTGAGGTCCATAATCTAAAAACAATAGTCATTATAAAGAACATGTTACAATTTTAAATATATGCAAGTTGTCCATAAGTCTAATTATTATATACAGTCAAAAGTCGTTAATCCAGACTCGTCGATTCCGGATTATAGATCATCAGTTTAAATCTGGTAAGATCGCATGCAGAAATTATAAAATTAAAAATATGAAACCATAATTTATGAAATAAAGAACAATTATGATCTAGCGTATCAAAATTTACAAAAAAAAAAGCTTAATATTTATTTGTTTACTTTATTAAACATTTCTTTCAATGCAAGTTGTTTAAGTTGCTTCGTTTTATGTGATAATACTTTCTTTTTAATTCTATTAAACAGACATAATTTCTTGTTTAGTTACAAAGTTCCACTGTTCAAGTCCTATAACTGCTGTGTCGAAAATAAAGACTAATTTGTCAATAGAAATTTTTTCATTTTCAATAACCTCTGTGTCACTTTCTTCACTATCGGAAGTGAATTATAATGACGAGGAATTTCATTTAAATCATATCAAAGACGGAGTACATCGAGATGAAATACTACATTTAGTAAGGAATTATAAGACAAATAAAATGAAAACATCTGCCCTGAAGATAAGGATAGTGCTGGCAGATCAACTTCCAATTCATTGCGCGCCGCGGCGTTTCCCCCCCACACACACACACACGCACGCAGAGCAGCGTGAAATTGATAAACAGATTTCGGAATGGTTAGATAAACGAAGGATATGCTTTTATCCATTTTTTGCAGCAATTCCACTTTTTGTTTAATGGACTTCGAAACATACTTTCGCTTTGTAGATCTTTTACATATTAGCAAATATATATCAGAAATTCTATTTGACATAATCGAAAGTTCAAGCTTACTTTTATAAAATTGCTCTAACAGTCTGCAAAAAATAATAAGCCGGATCCATTTCGAAGACTAAGGAACAACGCAATCTGCAACATTAACTGAATTAGATAATTTTAGCTTAGCTTATACCATCCGTTATACATTAAACGCGCATTCGTAAACGTATTTTGTGCATGCGCACACGCATATTCGCAGCCGTAAAGGTCTTACGCGCATGCTTCAACGCGACGCATGCACAGATAGTTTGTAGCTTTGAGGTCCGGATTATGAGTGTCCGAATTAACGACTTTTGACTGTATATTGATTTTTAATTATACACGTTTTTTGATACTAAACAGCAAATACTTAACAAAGAAATTCTTTCCAAATTGAAACAGGAGCAGATTTGCAACAACCTATGAACATGTTTGTATAAACATAGCATAATTAGACAAATGGTTATGGAGACATATTAAAAGTACTACCTTTCAACACTTGATTTATATGCCATGCATAACATATTGCTCCCTCAAAACAGATATTAAATATAAAATTATCAAAAAGTTAAATTACCCAAATTTCAGCAGTTTGTTAAAATGGCAATTACATACACAAAAGAATTTTTTTTCTTTTGTGAATCTTCTTACAGTTGGGTTCTACCACAGTCTGAAGTGGATGGATCATATGTCATTCTATTTAGTTTGACAATCATGTCATTCATGTGGGAACAAAGTTTGATGTATTATTTGCATGTAGTAGTATTATGCATTTATGTGATGTACCACGTGGGAACAAAGTTTGGTATCGCAACAACTTTGTTACAATTTGCACTTTGTTACAATAACTTCAAATTACAGTAATTACCAAATACTAGGAAAATCATTTATTGGCTTGTCCAGATGCCAGTGCAATAGAAAAATTGATTACATAACATTTAATTTAGTTACACATTTCATACACATTATCATTTTACTATTTGTCACATGGCTTTGTCAAGTCTCTATATAGTATATTATTTAATACATTATTAGTGAACGGCAAGGTTAATAAAAATAAGTTAATTTGATTTTATAACATTCACAGCATGATAACAGCCAAGAGTTTTAACGGCAAATCTTTGGAATATGGTAACAGGCAGTTTGGCGACATTTTGGTAGGCGATAAAGGTTACTACCTAGGACTTTGGCAATAATGTGAGAAGTACCCAGTTCCAATTACGGATTATTTTGTTTGAGAGATCATGAGATATGTCATGTGACATTTATGGACGAATGACAGCTCTTTAATCAGAAAAGGGGGGAATTTGGAAAAATATCTGCAGTACTTTATATCATTTTGTATTTACTAACTTCATTCTGTGTTGTGTGAAACAGTGTTGCTTAATTTTTGGATCCCATGGCCCTATCTAAAGTGAATTCGAAATTTTTATTGCGTTTATCTGATAATCCAAAAGAATTGCTTGAATGGTGTATGAGTGTAGGATTAATTGCGGATAAGTATGAATGTCCAATACGTGGAAATGAAATCAGATTGCGTGAAAGGAAGAATATTACAGATAAGTTTGAAAGGCGGTGCAAGAAATCTGGTGAAAATGGACATTTGGTGATCTGCCATGCACTCAAGATTCTGTAGAAGATTAGGTAAGTTAGTATTTTTAATCATTTGAGGATATTATTTTTATGCATTGTTTTAAATATAAGGAATAAATAAATTAATATGCTATTATTGGAAAATTTTTATTAGCAATGAATTAGTTTAAAGTAATTAAGATTTTAAGCTAATTTTTATTAATTTAATGTATGTGTTTATTTATATTTTAAGTAGTGTTTTTTAATTTAATTATATTTTAATTAAATGATAGTTATTTTGTGAATTATATGTTTGTAGCATTTTGGAATACGTTTCAGTAGAAGTAAACGTGCATGAAAATAATTTAAATATTTGACACTAAGTATTTGCAACCATTTTTAATGTTTGCGTTATAAATTCGCAGGTGACGTTTATAATAGATAAGTTAGAGGGAAAAGTTTTTGGATATTTTATTTATTTTATATGTGCAAATGTTCATCCTTTGGAAAGGGTATATGCAAGCTGAAGGTATAAAAGCTTGCATAGTATACATACTTTTTTGCGATCAGGTAATTTCATATATGTCCTTTTTACCGACTTCAAAGATTCACAAAATTTTCCTGCATTTTCGTGCAAATTTTTCTAATTTATGAGAAAAAAGCAGTGTACGTGGATAAAGTCAAAAGTGTGCACAATGCGATTTTTGTGCAATTCTGGGATTTTTTTTAAGCAACGTGTATGTGCCATTCTGAAAAACGCGGCAAGGAAAATTTCTACCATAAAATTTCTAGCATAAGTGGCTAGTAGATTGTTGGAAAAAATGTTGAGTAAATAAAAAAAAAGAAACCTGTCTTTACTTCGTGAAGGCAAAATGGCACCAAAAAAAAAAGTAGAAAGTTGCTGTAGCAGGGTTGGTTGCCAAATTTTCGTCAAAAATTGCCAAGTTACCATAATCCAAAGATTAACCTTTTTTACTTTTCACAAATCTAATTAGCAAAAAAAGTTCTGCTTTTGAAAAAGAAGGTATCGGATCACTTTTAAAACTCATAGTATTATTCAAAATATATGCCAAATTAAGATTGCTTTTTTTTCAATAACATTAAATTTTACAATATATTAATTCTCTTACAAGTTCAGAAACCTAAAATTTTATAATTGTTAGAAAACAGGAAATTGTTTGAATTTCAATTGTTAACATACTTTTAAACAGAACTATAAGCACATTACATGTAAAATTATAATATTAAGTACTTTATTCTAGAAACTTAGCGCATAATAAGTCTTTTATTTTTTTTAAACAAAATTAAATACTGCAGAATTTTTTCAATAACTATTTGCATGCTTTAGAGAATTGAAGTCATTAGTGTTCTTTTAGGAAAAAAGTATTTCATTAAATCGCAATTATTTTTTTCAAGAAGTAAAATATAAGAAGAGTATACTTGTCATATTCTATTTACAGGATTTTAAAACAATCCTAAAGTGCTTAAATTTAAAAAATTATAGTCTTTAAAAAGTTAACAAGTTAAAATTAAATACTGTGTCATTAAACCAATTCACTAACCTCGTGAGTACAATATTTTTATAGCTCATTAATAATTTAAAATTTAAATAACCTCAAATCATTAAAATACAATAAAATTTATTATAATCCCCAATGAAAACTTAGTTCTTATAAATAAATATACATAATTTCATTTGCTTGAAAATTTTCATTTTTCGTAAAACATGCAAATCTTATTCATAAATTCATACATCAGTTTTGACAGGTTATAAAATAAATGGCTTAATAAGCATCTCCAATGTAGCATGCTTGCTGCCCGAATAAACGAGATTTTGCAAATCATTTCACAATTTAATTCTGACTCGCAAAAAATTCAACGTGGATAATTGTTTACATACAATTGTGTTGCCAGATTTATAGTGACAAAAGTAACTATTTCACTTCCTGCCTCTTGAGCTCGCTAGTTGTTCTGTTATGTAATAAATTATTACACTTTCAGATCCATTTATTATTTCCTGTATTCTAATAATTCAAAAAAGCTCGACTATCCGAAAAGCTTGAGAAACGTTGATTTCAGGGTACCTGAAAATTTCGGATTATTGAGAGTATAAAAATTGCAGTTCACGATAGAAAAAGCAAGCGACAGAAAGAAAAAAAATTCCGGTCTAAAATTAGAAAATGAGTCATTTTATTTACGATTAAATTTTATCTTAAAAGCGCACATTTAAATTATATGAGATTAAGAAAGGTAAAAAGGGCATTTCATACATGGAAGTAAAACATCTTATTCCATAACGAAATTCCGTTGACATTGCAAATTGGCAGACATCTCGCCAAACTTGTACCAGTCATTCCGGTAAAATTTGAAGGAACAAATCGTTCTTAATTTAGTTAGGTAACTGAAATATACAAGTTGCGGACATAACCACACAAAAAAACTTAAATTCCTTGTCATAATTTTTCACGTTGCACAGCCAATATTTATGTAACACTCTTAATTTTGAAAATACTCTACTGCATGATGTTTCGGCGAATGTAAATCCACATTGTTACTCATTTATTTTCAAAATGCGATTGAAAAACAGATAAGTATCAGTTAACTTATATTGCTTTTTAAAAAATTTAAACTGACATATAGAGAATTAATTGGGTTTATATAAAGACAAGGCAAAGACCTTACGATTATGTTATGGCGTCATGCTTATCAATTATCAGAGGTAAATCGAACTGTTTGGCGGCAGTTTTAGTTTGATATGAGTCTAGTCCTATTCAAGCTTTATACCGAAGTTTCGTTTGTTTACATTTTATTAAAAAAATTAAAATATTTCAGTTTGTTTACATTTTGTTAAAAAAATGAAAATATTTCAGTTTGTTTACATTTTGTTAAAAAAATGAAAATACCAGTTACTTGAGCTTTCCGGTTACTCGGATAACCAGCTTTTACTGTAGGACACCTTACCTTCATTGGAAAAGTTCAGTTATACGAAATATACTGTAGCAATTGCCGATAATTTCATTACATTTGGAGATACTTACGAAAAATTTCTCCAAAGAACAGAAGAAATGTTATGCATATTGCCCCAATACAAGCGAAATAATATCGACACTCTGAAGGCATTCGAAAACATAACCCTCTAAGAAATAAGTGAACCCTCTAAGACTAAAACAGCATTAAAATCTCACGGTGAAAAAAGCAATTTCTTTCTCTTAATGAACTATAGATTCAACTAAGGGTCTGGCTGATCAAACATTAAATACTAGCTGTCTTTCCTTTATGTAGGATAATGACTAAAAAAATGCCCAAGAAATATTCGAAGCTTGAGCTTAAAATTTTCAGCAACATTGAGAAATCACCCTTTTCTTCCTTTAATTCTCTAATTCTAATAAGAATGCATTCAGATCTTACTGATAAAACATAATAGATAAATTATATACATTAATACGAAATTATACAAGTTGAAGAACATATTGAAAGTTCTCATTTTAAGATTTTACAGTCTATTCTCAAGTATTTCCGAAAATTTATCATTTGTACTAGGGCTAAAGTTCTAAAATTAGAAGAGCCGGAGCCCTAAGGAAGACCATTAGGAAAGAAGTACAAGAATAAATAAATAAAAGGATTCATATTAAAAATTAAATATTCTAATTAAAAATTAAATAATTAATGATTTAACTCATTAAATAATTATACGCCTAAAAAGAGGCGATTCTTTTTAACGTTTTGTGTGTTACCTTTATTTATTAAATATCATGTTCTTCGCACTTAAACCATAAAATTCAATTCAAGAGCAATACCGCAAAATAATTTTAAAATAAGAATTTCCGAAATACTCACGCGCTGGATATATATTTTTCCCCCCTCCATACAGTGTTGCCATTCCTCGCTTTGAAATCGTTGAGTTTCTTAATCAAAAATTCTTTATTGTCTGACAAAATATGAAATCAATAATAAAACAAATTCAAAATTATGGCTTTCAGATGCCCATATTCGTGGAGTATTACGTTATTCAAAATTGCATGGCTCTAGATTTTATCAACAGTGCGACAAACATATATACGTTTCTGTAGATTCTTCATTATTTAATTTCTTTAAATATAATATAGGGCTGTAATAGTTGGTGGCAACAGTTTAAAAAGTGAATCAACGTAAAATGCCAAAACGAAATTAATAGCCCTTCTGGGCTAACGCCCTTTAGGCTAAAAATGTAAAGAAATAAATCAAAATTGAATAAGCGATTAATATAATTTTATTACTAAAAATAAAATTTTCGAGATCAAATTTCTACTGAAATTGTTGTTCAGTTACATAAAAGCCTTCTTATTTAGGGCTCCGCTCCAGCTAGAATTATGGTTTATCGTGAAAACTAAAAAGTACCGGAGCCGGGTTCTGGTGCAATTTAAGCTCTGATTTGTACTTTTACTACAATGAACCTTATCACGACTTTCCCCTTTCTTTTTGCATTTGTTTTAACTTTGATATTAGATACTTTCCACAAATGGCTGTAACTTGCGAAAATTAACTGATTTTTGTTGTTACTAATCTACAGTTCTGAAGAATAACTCGCTGAAAAACTAAAGAAAATGTGAAGCACTTACTTATATTTTGGTCGATTAATAGTCTTGTACAATCGGTGGTATCAGTAGATAACGGACAGCGGTATACTGCTCCGGAACGGTTATGAGATATCGTTTCTGCTTTAGGTGCTCCTATTAATAATCTAAAATATAAAAGGAAATGCATAAAAAGAGCGAAATTAACAAAAGCAAAATATAGATCGAAATTTAGTTAACTTTACATGTGATTATTTTCGAAACTTGGATATGTCTAGAAGATGACAAGCAACTTGATGCTAGTCATGCAGAACATCTTATTTATATTTTACAAAATATGGCATAAAAATCTCAATGAGTAACAGATAACAGCGTGAAAATAAAAAATATAACGATTTTCAAGGAGATTCAATAAATAAATTTTACTCTAAATATGCTATCCTCTGCGAAGGATTTATATATGTTTCAACATAACAAGTTTTTAACCAAACGCATAAATTTATTTCTCAAGAATGTCGTCTATGATCATCACAGAGTTTTTAATGTTTAATAATACATGCTATCACATATGCAGTTTTTTCATCATTTTACTGACAGTGATGCCTTTAATTTCTTAAAAATAAAGCAAAATGTTTTACTACTATACTTCTCAGTATATTAATATGAATATATATCAATAATGTAGAATATGCGGTCTAATAAATTAAATTGGTTTTTATATTTATGATATTTAGAAGTTAAACAAATGCTTCAATGAAAATTAAAGAAGAATCCCCCTCCCATTTTATATGTAAAAAATGGAGTCTTTGACAAGAACCTTAGCAACAGAGAATACATTCAGAGAACGAACGCTTTTTTTAATTTGGTAATATGTTCAATCAAACGCATTTGATAAGTTTGACCAAACGCATTTAAAGAGTTAATGAGTTTTTACCTTCAACTGCAAGAATATTTAGTGGATGTCATGTTTTTGACTGGAATGAACTACTATCTAAATCAAGGGGGGCAACCTTTTTGGGAAGATTGCCAGTATCTGGGAAAAAAAAAGTTATACGGGCCAACAAAAAAATGTTATTTATAGTCTGATTATGGGATTTTTTCACAGATAGCACATTTTTTTATGTAAGTCTGAGTAGCGGACATTCAAAAAATAATATAATAAATAAAAGAAACGTACAACCTAGAGTTTTATTGTTAATAAACACTTTTAAAGTATAAAATAAAAATGAATAATTTAAAACATTTAATTCTAAATAACTATTAAACAGTCGGTATTAATTAATGTGTTTTTTTAATATGTAAATTTTTTACGAAGTCATTTATCTATATTAGGTATAGTTCTTGACAGGGCCGTTCCTTGTGGATGTGCAGCACGTAAAAGTACGCGGGCGGCAAAATCCGGGGTGGCCGGACCACGCCTAAATATTTTTAATTCTTTAATTTCATTGCAAGTACTAGTCTTGTGTAAGTACTTTTTATACAATTTGTCATATATAAATACTTAGTAAGCATGAAATAAAAATTTGATTGAACATTTTCTTTTAATTTTGCGGGCGGCGATCTTAGAAAAGTACGCGGGCAGCCAATGATCTAGAAACGGTTCTGGTTCTTGAAGATGCTAACAAAATTAGGTGTTTTAGGTGCACATCAGTAAATCTTAAACGATGATTTGATTTTATTTTGTTTGTAATAGAAAACATTTGTTCACAAACATATGTTGATCCAAACCTACAACAATACCTGACAGCCAAATAGTGTAAATTTGGAAAATTGCAATATAATTTGGATCATTTACAGTTGAAATAAGTTCCTCACATTTGCGTTTCAGTATAGTATGGTGTTGTAGGTCAATAATTTCGATTTGGATTTCAGTTGGGGAACAATTAACGTCTTGCAGAGAAATTGAATTATTATATTTATTCTAAGGAGTTTATGTGTATATTTATCGACGGAGTTGACACAGACGATATCACTATTTTCTCGGATATTTTAATTCTTCAATAAGTATTTGAGTTCCACTTTTAATACTCCGCCGCGCCGCGGGTTGGCCATCTCTGAACTGAATAAAATTGTGCGAGTGCTCGTGCTGCCATCTACCCTAAATTTAAGGATTTAAGTATTGAAAAAATGATTTTCAATTCCGAAATAAAGCTAAATAAATATAGAACAAATACGGTTATCATCATTTCGCTAACAGTTTCATAGAAATGTAATCTGTTTTAGAATAATGCTGTCTTTATATAAATACATTTAACCTATGCTAAATATTAAAAATAAAGATGTACAAAAATTCTTTAAAATAAACTTGAAGTTATAATTGAAACAATA